GACTACGCTAGTGTCCAGCGGTGTGTTCTGGATGGTGCTTTCAACCGGCAGTAGCGTCATGCTACGGTTCTGATGATGGTTCTAATGACGATGATGATGATGGCGGTGGTGGTGGTGGTGGTGCTGGTGATGGGGCTGGTGCTTCGTCTTACTAGTTTGATTGCCGCTGCGAGTGCTATCGTTGTTTGCGCGACGCGATTCGAACACGCTGGCACGATTGAACCCTAACCGCCCCTTACCCTACAACCGCTCTGTTAGCCTTTGTGGAAGCTAAGGCAGCCAGTGGATGCCCGCTGGGTCACATCTCTGCACACCCGGGCTGCCCCTGGGCTATAGTCGTGTAACCTTTGATTCAAGAGGGTGGTGGACAAGCCGGGAAAGACTTTAAGGATGAGGGACTTCCGGGTTTCGCGGTTTCAGAAGAATGACTACGTACTGTGGTATAAAGTTATTAGCATGCGAAGAGAAGTGAGACAAACACATCGCCGTCATGTTTGTCTTTACTGTGCTATTGGACGTATGACATCACTGCTTCCAAGCTTAGGCTTGCTGTCGTACGGTTTCGGTTGGTTTTGGGTAATCTCGGGGCAGGAACGGCTGTAAGAGCCGTTTTCGGGACTCATCACAAGCACTTTGACGATGATGACTTACACGGCACCGACCGAAGGCAGTGAATTCGGCTCAGCCCTTTATTAGGTGAATTAGACCAGCGACCTCAGAACGATAACTGAGTCTTGTGCATATTCGTATCTTCAGAAACCCAATACTACCGAAGCAAACCGCGGAACAGTAGTCAAACTTGTGATTTGCAAGGATTCTCGGAGTCATCATGTGCTGCAGCACACGTAGCAACGTGGCGCTAATGTTCCTATTTGTCTTGAAAGGGCACGCCGACGAATGTTTCCATTCATCTTAGTTGTATTGGCAGCAACTAGGCAGTCTGGTGATCATGAACATGGCTATGATCATGGCCGTGATCATGCTGATGATCACCTTCTCACCCTCATCTCAGACTCTTCTCTATGATCGTAGAAGTCGTAGAAGCGAAGGCCGAAACCGAATCCCAAACCCTACAAACTATTCAAACTTGCAGACAAAACCCTTAGCCAATAGCTCCAAAAGCACGACACATCCTAAGGCGGCCAAGCTGAAACACGCCTGGCCCAGCCGACGGGAGGCCGCTTCCGTTGGCTTGCGAGCTCAGGGCCTTGCAGAGGTTAGGCTTGAAGAGGTCAGGGCTAAGGTTTCACGTATAGCGGTGCTCTGGAGGGGGTTGGAGTATGGCTTGAGTTCAGGTTTGTTTTTTTAATGTTTGGGCTTGGATTCCATGTCGTGTTGAGCAGTGTGGGGGTGATCTTGAGCCAGGTATGTTATGTTGTGATTTATAGCACCGTCGCAATCATCAACATTAGCCAACTAACTAGACCCTACACTCCAGAAGCACGTAATCCCTACACCAGAAAAGATTCGAAACCTTGTACCATGTCAGCTGAAAAAGCCGAACCTACCACCCAAAATACGCCTTATTGCTTCGCGAGGAGAAATCTCAGACGCCTCGCCAGCGCCGAGCCGCCCTTCAGGACCCTGGTAGAGAGCCCCTCCCCTCTCCTTCAGTTTTTCACTGTCACAAGCCTAAACCCGCGATAGCCTGCTGACCCTGATCTCAAGGTCCCAAAGTTAAGCTGCAGAAGCCATAACCTGCAAGACCCCACAGCTCCAAGTTGCACAATAACACACCAATACAACATATATATATATATATATATATTATACATACATGCATTCATTCATTCATTCATTCATTCATTCATCCACTCACTCACTCATTCATTGCTCCATTCATTCATTCGTTCGTTCATTCATTCCGTTATTCATATGTATGCATATATATATATATAATATAGTTGTACGTACGTATGTATGCATGTGCATATGGATGGGTGTATGTATGTATGTATGTATGTATGTATTCAGATATATGTATGTATGCATGTATGTATGTATGTATGTATGTATATAGAGGGGGGCACACTCGAGTTTCAGATTGGAAAGTTTAGGCTTCAACTGAGGGCACCCTAGTTCCGAAACCATACACTTGCAAATTGGATCCCTTCTGAACCTCCAGTGGTTAGAATGTAGGGCTTCCAGTGTGCGGACAACTTACACAGGTATCTTCAAATTTCAGAAGCCCGGGTTCATTTTCTTTCCACACTCCTGCGTGCATTGAGGACGCGCTATGTGCGGCCGCTGAAGCGCTGACCCTCACGCCACAAACAGGTTGGGTGGTTACACGACACGTCAACCGAGATGTTGGGGATTTAGGGCTTGAGGTAGATGAGTTTAGGCCCAGGAAATTGGTCTATGTAAGTCCGGTGCTTACTGATCGTTGGTCTTTGGCTCGGACCTGTTTTTTGCCATTGTGCCTATATTGCCAAGTTCCTCAGAGCAGCCCGAACCAAAATCCCCAACACCAATCCCCGAACTCGAGAATCCTCTTGCTTCCTCTGAGTTTGTTCAAAGGGGCCTTTAGAACCCGCCCCTGTCACTATGTGTGAGTTGCTGTAAACACCGTCTGTACTCCTGATTTTCGAAAAAAGGGGTGTGACATCCTCGTAGGTACCCTCTTGCTGCTACCACACCCCAGAGCTGCCAAGGTCCTGCAGGTTTGGGGTTGAGACGGTTGAGGGCTCAGGCACTATAGGGGATTACCGGTTGAGGCCTTCGAGGGCAGAAGAACCGGAACAGCCTGCCAGGTATCTCCAGCCTGCAGAAGAAGACGGAGAAGCAGTTGCGCAGTGTTTCCTCGCCCCCCGCCCGCGTGTTTGATTGCGAGCACGTAGGCGATGATAAGGGTTCGATCATCCGAGACATACGGATACGCTGCACTTGTAAGAGGCTGAGGGCACAGAGCTTCGATCTGGGGCTGTCAGTTCTGCTGCAAGTTGGGCTGTCGGGCCGTCTCTGTTAATGTACATTGGCAGCGGTGTTCTAAAAGCCCGAAGCTCCAACCTGAAGCTCAAGGTCGACCCAACAAAAATCCAAAAAATGTAAGACAAACCGAAGCCCTAGAGCATCGTAAACCCCTGAGAAAGCCAAAACCCCATCCTGAACCCTTCAAAGCCCTCAAAGTCTAAGGGCTGTTGAATGAAGCCCGACTACCTTCCTACCCCCCCTCCGGACCCTCTGAGAAGCTCCCAAGGAGATGGATCTCCCACGCCTGGGGCGATCTCGACGCGGCCTTTGAGGCCAAGGACCTCGAGGCGACGCGTCCCAAGATGGCTTTCACCCCTTGCGGGGCTTCAGTGACGAGGTTCAGCGTGTTTTGAGTAGAGCTTATTCAACGGTTTAGGGCTAAATTGCTGGTTTAGGGCCGTTTATGGTTTGGCGTGAGGGTCTTTAGATGCTTTGAGGGGATTCACTGATTGAGGGTTTGGCATGCACAGCCTGTGTTCCGAAAGTCGGGGGTACGGCGGAATGCCCTCGCAGTCAAGGTGACTTTGAACTGCTGAAACCTGAAATCTCCTTAAGTTGGGTACCCTCGACGATGAAGAACTCTGCTCGGAACATCTGAACCCTAGAAGCCGACATCCTGAGAGCTCCCAGGCTCTTCGCCAAGCGGCTGAAGAGTGCAGTGCGGCTGAGAGCGTCACTCAGCTTAGCGGGTTCGGGGCTCATGGCCTACTCAAGGTCTATATCGGGTCCTTGAATCCCAATCCCCTAACTCTTAGTGTTCTACTGCTAGCACCCGCGCCGCACACATGTGCATTTTCTTCGAGGAGCATATATGCTCGCCAAAACCCAATAGACGCTTCGCCTCAAGTGTTGTTTGGCAGCAAAGGCCTGTCATGCTGCCGGAGCACAGAGCCTTGGATGTTCTTGCAGATGCAGGAAGGCCTTCTAGGTTTTCTGGGCTTGTTCGCCCAAGGATGTAGCGTCTCCACGGCGGCGTACCGGCTTTAGTGTTTGCGGGGCTCGCGCTTTTGTTTGTTGTCAATGGGTTGCGGGCATATACTTCGAGTAAGTCGCGAGGGATTGAGGGGTCCGGGCTTCGGCACTAGTCGAGCTTGTCTGGGTTCAGTGCTGGCAGATTCCACGTTCGGTCATCACTCAGGGTTCACGGGGTTCAGGGCCCAAGCAGATGTTACAGACCCAAGAAAACAGCAAGCACACACTGAAGCTTAGGGTCCCAACCCCTGAAGCACAGCATATCGGGGCCGCAGATAACTAGTAAGAGTTTCGGTGCTCCGGAAATTTCTCTAGGGTCGGAATAGAGGACTCTGACTGCTCAGGCCTGTATAGAGAATTCGTCAGTTTCCGATTACGAGGCCCGAAATTCCCGCAGCCGTTGATCCCTAAACCCCTCAAACATCCATACCCCAGAACGCATTGTCAACAACTCCAAAAGCCCGCAGACCTTCAAGACTCTAACTTCGGCCCTCAGACCGCAAACTTTAGAGACACCAAAATATCCCAAAACTTCTCAAAGACCACCCAAATCCCCGTAGTACCCAGCACCCTCAAATCTCTTGTAAAGACCGCATTGAAAAAGTCGGAAGCCCAGAAATCACGCACCCAAAACACTATTACAAATGCCAAAACACAAAGCAGCGCGGAAGCTCTGAGATCCAAGGAGTCTCCGCCCTGAGCCGGCGATGTTGGACAAGCTCCGAAGCTCTCTTCGGTGCCTCGAAGCAGTTTTTGGTTTTTAATTTGTGTTATTTGCATGGGGTTTGGAGGGGTCAGGGTTCAGGGTGTTAGGTGTGCTTCAAGGTGTTTTGCTTTGGTTTTACGTGCCGTAGCTTGTTTTGGAAAGGTTTTGATGGCGTCAAGGATTGAGCCCAAACTAAGCATTAAACCGTTGCCTGCTAATTAGAACGCGTCGCTCTCCGGTAGGTTTTGATTCCTGACGGGACCTTGTAAACTAATCAAAAGCACGATAGGCAACCTGAGCCGAAGAGGGGCTTAGCATGTACCCGAACCGACTATAGCTGGTGCACTTTATGACGGGATACCCCAAACCTGACGAGCCTGACCCGAAATACCCCCAGCCCCGAACCAGGATCTGCGACGGCTCGTCGAGCTTCAGCCTGGAGGCACACTGTCCTCTGTCCCGACGAATTCTGGGGTGCCGGTTGCAAGTTCATGTTCAGCAGTGGTGACCCCACATGCGGTCCCTCAAGCCCCAACACCCCTAAGACTCCAAAGCCCAAAACTCTCGCCCAAAGTGCAGGCCAAGCGCCTCCATGCTTTCGAGGAGGTGCGAGAGGCCCTGAGGCGGCGACTGGGCGAAGGCAGCAAGGCCGGAGAGAGTCGGGCTTAGGGTGCCTGAGGGCTTCCTGTAGGATGCTACAGGGGTTCGTAAGGGGCTTGGCAGGTCTTGCAACATTCGTATGTGCCTTAGAGTTTCCTTAGAAGTTTTTGGGGCCTGAAAGTTTTGGCATGCAGGGTTGTGGCGCTTTGGGAAGGGCTTTGCGGCTTTCAGGGTTTGGGCGTTAGAGTTTCGGCTTAGCGGCTTGAAATTTGGTGTTTGGGCTCAAGTTTTGGGGAATGACCAAACCACATAGAATTCAAGCAATACTTAGAGTAATGGTGGTATGCTGTCATGAAGCCAGAATATCAATAGCAGTTGCAAGCATCCTAGCAGTGAGCAGTTCAAGAACTTTGCCTTTCCAAAGCGGTCAGCCCCAACATCCAAAACATGTTAATCTCAAACCACTCTTATCTGAGTTATCGGACAGCTAGTACCAGGGCCCCACAAGACCCCAAGTGCAAGGAGACCCTTTTGTTTATGTGCAGCTGTTGGCTATCGAACAGCCTAGTCGGGGTTGCAGGGCTCTGTGACTGTGGCCTCCAACGAACGGTACTCTTGAACACCTGACTTTCGAAAAATCATGACGACGACCACATCAACATTTGTGAAAGCTTCACATCCAAGATAGGAAGTAGAACCCTTGAGCACTCAAGCCTCAAACCCCAAGCCGCTAAACACCCTGAGCCCGAAAGCCCGAACTGCAAACACGAATCCTTAGCCCTAAACCTCTAACCTTTCAAAATCCGTGGCCATTGAGCTTTCTGTTGACTTGACTGTAAGATCCGCAGGACGAGCAGCACTCGACCCAACCATTCTTGGCGGATGCGCTGCGCGAAGCCCTCCGCCAGGGCTGCAACCTGTCTAAAGAACGGCCTCAACCCCAGAAGCCGCCAAAGCCCTAAACCCTCAAGCCCCAAAACCCCTTGCACCCGAAACCTGAGAGCCGCATGAATGCAACATTCGAGAGATCTTACAGCACCCTGAAGAAAGACCGCTGAATCCTCCAAGAAGAGCTTGTGCAAGCAAGCCTGCAAGACCTTATCCTTCTCATTGTTATGAATACAATGAACAGGACCGAGAGAAACACACCCAAGGTCAGGCCGGCGACGCGGAGGACGATTGCATCGGCCGTGCTTTGGGCTTCCAAAGCCGACTCTCGGAGCGGCTCCCGCAGAGGCACTTGAGGGTTCACAGGGTTTAGGGACATTTATACGGTTTAGATACTTGTAGGGTCTAGGGTTCCTATTTCAAGGGGGTTAGGCAATGGGCAATGGGCTTGATAGGCTAATTACTCTACGACTTGTTCTGGCTTTCACAAGGTTTCGTTTTTTCCCCAGGGTTTTGCGGTGGCATTCACGTGTTTGATACGGACAGGGGTTTTGAGAGGTTTTAATGAGCTTTGCAGGCCTCTGCAAGGGCTTAAAAGGGCCGTCAAAAGTTCATTCAGCGAGGTTTAGCTTTAAAGGCTGGTTCTGTATTTCTTGAGTCTTCATCCGGGCTTTGCGAGCGTTTGACAGGATCTGGTAGGGTGTGTAGGTTCCAAGAATAACAGTTGGAGGTTTTCGGGATTTGGTGGGTTTTGAACGTCAGTTAATGGGCTGTCGGCCAGTCGGTTGAGAATCGAATTCGGAACCAGTTTTCGAAGAGCTATCCTCACAGATCCAACGACATCTGCAGAACTCAAGGGCTTAACGCTTACTGCATTCAGTTTACATCCCTGCAGCCTTCAGCTGAATCTGCTGGCTAGGAAGCTCTGCTCCCATTAATCCGCAAGCCCCGACGCGCCGTACGCGGCACAAGCCCTGCCGAAAGAAGCCGCCGTCCTTGCAGAAGCTCGCTGAAGTCCAGCATGTACCCACCCTATATTTTCAAAAGCGCCCTGCGAATGAAGATCAAGCAGTATATACACACGCTGATAGATAGCAGTACCATATACATATACAATATACATACACATATGTGTATATATATATATATGTATGTATATATATATATATATACTTACAGACATACATAGAGATAGATAGATAGATAGATAGAGATGTTGTGTGTGTGTGTGTGTGTGTGTATGTGTGTATGTGTGTTAGAGAGTCGACTAAGCCCAAAAACAAACCGAAACAGGACACCTTCAGCCCAAATCCCTAGCTTCAAAACATAAACCCCGGCAGATGGGGGCTCTGGTCATCGCTTGTGCTCAGTCACCAAGCCGTTCTGCCGCTTGGCGACACAGAGAAACTGCTTTGGATGTTTGGCTTCTCGGGCTTTGGGGTTTACGGTTGAAGTTTGGGGTCTTGAGCGTGCAGGGTTTGAAGGTTTTGGTGGTTCTGCTTTAAGATGGGGCTTCGGCTCTCGAAGAGTGTGGGTTTTGGGCTGGTGAAGGTTTTAGGGTTTGGGGCTTTAGCGCCCAGTGTTTAGAGTGTCAGCTCTTGAGACTTCGGCTTTCAAAGTTCGTCTGGTTGAGGATTCTTCTGTTTTGAGGGTTCGATGGGGTTAGGTTCACGGAGTGAGGCTTGTTGGCTTGAAGACTTTGGATTCCCAAGTATGCATTTTGAGGGATGCGAGCTGTTGTTCCTTCTGTTGTGACACTTGAGTGTGGCTTTTTCGTTTCTTCATGCTCAAATTCCATCTAGGGCAGTATTCCAAGTCACTCCTGCTGACGGGAAAACAGCCCGCCAACGCAACTAAATCCTAAATCTGGGGGCCCTCAACAGGAGAACCCAAACCCTAAACCCGAGACCGTGCGCGCTGAAAGGTGGGAGGCAAGCCCGAGCCTTGCGAGGGTGCAGAAAGCCCTGGCCTTCTCAAGGCTCACGGGGTGACGATGCTGGGAGGTTTAGAGTATTCTTCATGGTCTTATGTACGGGTTCCCTAAGCCCTCAACCCCAAGCTCAAGACCCGAAGGGTTGAACCGGGTTTTGAGAGCAGACATGTCCGGCTCCATAGCTCATTGTTTGCAGCTGAAGTTTGGGGTTTCAACATTCAGGGTTTCGATGGTTCAGGGTTCGAGGTGCTATTTTGGAAGCTTGACCTTTTGGTACCGAACTTCTTTTTGTTCCCGCTGGACTGTAATAATATCGTATTCCAACTGTCGAGGCCACTGTGTTAGGGTTGGGGAAGGACCCAACAACACATTTTCCTTGGACCGATGCGGAAGTGACATAGCTGGTTGAGCAAAACTCGGCCATGTGTACGTGCGTGTATGTCTGAACGGATGAACCATCGGATGCTAGCGTGGGCGCCGAGGCTCCACAACTGCGACGTCTCTAAACCTTAAGCACTGAAACCTGACAGGCTTTCGAGATATTTAAAGGTTGAAGGTTAGTATTCTTGGCCAGGGGTGACAAACATAAAACCTGAAAGCCCAGATTTTGCTCACATCTGACAGGACCGCCGGCGCACCAGATCTGGAGCTGCGTAACGCTTCGATGTCGGAGGAAAAGCTCGGCACCTCGGATGCATTTCAGGGTTCGGGATCAGAGGTGCGGACTCGATCAGAAAGCATGAAGAGTTTGGGAGCTTGGATATGTTGGGGCTTGAAACCCACCTTTCCGGCTAGGCTGCGGCCGAGGAGGTCTCAAGACACGAAGTCCGAAAACCATGCAGCCACAAGCCCAAGAAACTACACGGAAGATGAACCTGGACGGAGATCAAAATCGTAATTATTGGCGGTTGTAGTTGTGTTTGAAGTCAAGTAGCTATGTATTCCGTGGGTTGGTGTATTAGAGGGCTTGCAAGTCGTTTCGTGAACATGTTTGCCGAAGGCCACGCGACCCCTTAAACCGCAAACCCTACATCCTAAAGTACAGACTTGGTTCAGAATTTGTCCCAGGATTGGCTCGCAAGCATAAAGCGGTAGGGTAAGAGCATATTGGACGTAAGGCCAGAGAATGTGATTTTTTGCAAGAAGCTTCATTCTCTGGGCTGTACCAAGAACCGCCAAGGACGTCACTTCGCTGTGGCGCGGCATCTCGACGAGGCGAGGTTATTGTTTGCAGCTGGCTCACCATACTCGTGCATGCTCTCTGTCTCTGTCCCTACATAGCTGTCTCCATCTCTCTCTGTCTCTTCCTCCCTGTCTCGCTCTGCCTCTCTCTCTCTCTCTCTCTGTCTCTCTCTCTCTCTCTCGCTCTCTCCGAGTGCTAGGCATTAATACCCCCGCCGGGTCAACAGCGAAATATCCCGCCAAACTACATAAGCCTGTAGGGCGTAAGCAGTAACCCTGCGCGCCTTATCCTTGTATGGCCAGTCCCCGAAAAACTTCATACAACCAGGGTAATCTTGCGCCTTCATCAACCTTCTATAGCCTACTACAAAGCCTTGCAAGCCAGTCATTAAGCCTCTCAAAGCCCTACAGCATGTGCTCGAACTCTTATTAAATCCTTACAAAGCCCCAGAAGCCCCTTTTGAAGAAAGCCTTTCAAACTCCTTTTAACCAAAGCACAAAACAACCTTACAGAATGAGATCCTAGGAACCAAACAAAAACAAACCTTAAATACACTAATGAGATCCTAGCAAAAGACTTCCGGATTTAGTCCGTGTTTCCTCAGCCTGAGGCCCTGGAGACCGACCTGAACCTGGTGGAGGTGCTTTTGGGTGTGGGCTTGTGTGAGGGTTGCTACAAGTTCTATTTGGGGATGGGGGTCTTTGGCTTCAGGCTTAAAGAATCACAGCGTAAACTCCATGGTGGTTTTGGGTCGAGAGGTTTCAGCAAACGACTTGTGGGCCAAAATCGTGGGTCCTTATAGAACGGATCCCGTGCTGTGGAGTCTGCACTGGAGTTTCTAGAAACTCCTCATGTGCGAGCACCTGCATTTCACGTTAAAGGTTTTCTCCGATGCGAGCGGGCTTTGCGTGGAGTTTTCTGGGTGGTAGGGCTTCGTGCTAGGTTTGGGGTCGAGGTTGATGCGGGTTAATGTATATAGGGCTGTTGGAGTTCAGGGCGGAGGGTTTGCAAGGGTGGGGAGGTTGCTGTAGCGGTTAAGACTAAAAGAGGTCTGATGCTTTGTCATGACAGCCCTTGTAGTCCCCATAGAATTAGTCTATACTATACAATCTCTAAGACCCTATTGCAACTATCAAGGCCCCTGTACTTACAAGATCCTGGAAACATCTTCAAAAAGACTGCGCTGCCCCCCTACAACACCTGTAAACTCACATATCATGCCGCATTCTTTGGGGGATTACAGTATGGTTTCCTTGTTATGGTACTTTAAATTGACTGACCATGCTAGGGATCTCTAGCAAATAATATGGTTCCCTTTTGGGCACGGGATCCTGAAGTTTACAGAAGTGCTTGCAGGCTGCAGAAGCGGCTCAGCACGTGGAAGGCTCCTGGACTTCGTGGCAGTTTTGAGTCGAGTTGCTGGGGTCTCCAGAGGTTTCCGGCTTTGGTTTCAGGGTTTTGTATGGATTTGGTGCATTAGGCTTTTGCAGGATTTTGGGGACTTCAAGGTTTGATGATGATCGGCAAGTATGTTGACGGGTTTATTGAGGACTCAAGGCTAGGGGCGGTTCAGGGTTTAGGCTGGTGGAAGAAGCCCTCAACCTCAATAGAAGCTGAACCGTCAATCTAAATCTTTAAACCCTAAGCCAAAGGCTCCTAAATCATCGAAGGTGACGGCGGGTGGCTCTTGGTTGCAACGAATCTTCGACGCGCCCGGCGGCGGCTTGGGGCGCATCCCGCCCCTGTGGACCCGCAGGCAGCTTTGCTCTGGTGTTGCTCAGTGTGGGGCTTGGGTTTCGGATGCAGAGTTCGTGCCTCAGGGTGGAAGATCTCGTGTCTCACACTTCAGGATTTCGTGTTCGGTGACGAAGAAGAGAAGAGAGTTTCAGATTGAGCTACATAGGGGAAGTAGGTTCCCTGGCAGCCCAATTAATGAAAATCCCGAAGCCTCAAAACGCCTCCCAATCCTTAAATTTCTTCACCACCCCAGAGGCTCTTGACTTTAAAGGCCCCTAGACGAACTGCCCGAAAATCTTCCCGAGCGGCTCAAGTCTTGATCCCCGACAACTCCCTCATCCAAGACCTTCTAGAAGCCTTTTGGCACGTGTGTCGTACCAGGAAATCTTCGACCCTAGCACACCAAAATCTGCCACATCTGCAGGGACCCGGAAGCTTCGACGAGTCTGCTCCGGAGGCTTCCACGGAGGTGCTTCTGATGCAAGGGGAAGTGGGCTCTTGAGCTGAGGGTGACGATGTCAGCATTCAAGGTATCGGGTGTTGACGCATGAGAATCAAGAATGTAAATCAGGCTTAGACAAGGTAGGGGTGTCATTTTGGAGTCACGACTTAGGAAATCTGCATTTGAGGATTTGAGGGTCCCTGGTTATATGTTTGGGGTTTGCGGATCGACGGCCTGACCCCTAAATGGTCGCAATACCTCAGACCCTTGAGGGTTTTGGTTTCATAGGGTCTCTGTGGCTTTAGCTTGGGAAGATGAGAGGCGCCCCTAACTGCCTAAGCGCTCCAACCCTTAAGCCCTCACGCGCAGTCCCAAAGCCCTAAACATCGCCTTTGAACCCTGGGCACTCTCCGAAGCCTCGCCTCTAAACCCTAAACTACTTTGACACCCCAACAGGTCGCCAAGCACAACCTCGTCGAGGCCCTTCGCCTGGGTGCTCAACCGCTGGTCCGCGCGGCCTTGTGGCTCGTTGCAACAGAGGGAGCGAGACCGCTATGTATGTAAGGGTGCGTACATAGCATAGACATGTGTCCGTAAGCATGTCTATGTTGTATACGCGATACATATACACATACGTATGTATGTTTGTTTGTTTGTATGCATGTGTGTATGTATGTATGTATGTATGTACGTATGTGTGTGTGTGTATGTATATTCTATTCAGTACCACATCCGACTGTTTCTATTTATGTCCGTACGGTAGGGGGCAGGTTAGAGACGTACATGCACGCTTGCGTGCATGCATGCATGATGTGCATAATATTCACCTGTGAATGAAACTGTGTCTGTTTCGGCAGATTTCTATGTACATGTACATGTATTTGTTTCTGTATATGTACGTTGGCGTTGTAGATGAGTTGTTTTCACACTTGATGCTGTAAATTTGTTTTCTAGATGCAGACGTGCATGATTTTAGGCATATGTGCATGCACACCTGAATATGTACATGTATGTGTATTGGTTTAGGTATAGGTATATGTATGCATATAGGTAAAGGTATAGGTGCATGTATGTGCATGTGTATATATATGTATATATACATATATATATATATATATATTGTACATATATACACAGGCATGCATCTAGACGTTTAAATTGTGTATCTCTGTGCACGTGTATTTTGTCGGGTATTCCATCATCTGGAGGTTTGTAAGCGCAGGCATTTCGCGGAGGTCCAGAGGGGTCGCTCGCAGTTGGCCATGTTCTCCCACAGGCTACGGGCCCAACAAGCCCTACATCCAGCCAAACCCGTTCGTCCATAACCCTAGGCCACATACACCCAAGGGTCCAGGAAATCATCAGCCCTACAAGCCAGAATAGCCTTAATCTTAGTTGTTGATTTCGATAGGCCCGACAGGCCGAAACCCCAATTTCGACAAGCCCGGCCCTGCACCCTAATCTGATATAGAGCTGAAAACAAGGTGATATGGTCCCAACAAAGCGGCGCAAAACACCCGAAGTCCTGCTTGAAGTATGTATTTTCAGACCGCTTAACTAAGCGGATCGGCCCTTAAAGCCGGCCGAGGAAACACGGCAGCAGCATCCTGGATCCCCAGTTGGTGGAGGAAGGAGAGCAGTTCCTGAAGCAGAAGGACCTCCGAATCGGACTCTACAGGAAGTTCATGTATGGGTATAAAGTTATGTAGACAGGTCGAGCCATACGTATATCTGATGTGTATAAACATATGTCCAATGTGTGTTTCTGTGTCATGGGATGATACGACATACTTTCTCGCCATATAGCAGTCCATCACATCACATCAGATCACATCAGATCACATCACATCACACGCCAACACAACGCATCATACCACATCCGATAAGACCAGATCATACCATGCCATGCAATGGCATGCAATGTCACATCATGAAAGGACATGTAATGTCTTGTCTTACCATATCATGTCATTACCATGAATACTATTTGGTACCATTTCACATCATGCCAACACACACCATATCGCATCGTATCATACTTGGTACTAGAGCGTTTCATGACAAAGTAAGCACGTGCTTTTATTGCAGGTTCAAGCATAAGGCAGGCTTGTATGGTGACAGGGTTGCCAACAGGGAGGTGGCGATCAATCTTTTCTGGTTTCCGGAACTTGTTGAAACTTCACGCGGACATGGGATTCATGGCTTGGGTCGTAAACCTAGAGAAGGTTGGAAGACGCTGTTTCGATCTGCTTAGAGTCTCTGCACCGTCGCAAGGAGTTGCTAGCGCAACTGCAGCGCTGCAGCCAGCGCGGGGATGCGTGGCGTCTCGAGGTCCTGGCTGACAAACATGCTAAAGGAAGGGTTTAGGGAAGCTTTAGGGTGCAGGGTCAAAAGCAGTTGAAGAGTAATGTAACAGCACTATGTGGATTTCTATGGGTTTTAATCCTACACCCTCAACAGCACGGTTTTAGGGATTACGACATCCTAGTCCTCAACTCGCGCTTTTCGGCCTTCACCAGGTTCCGTTTCTCTGTTGGCTGGTTTAGTGGGGCATCGCAAGCCCGTGAAACACCCTTCCAGCCTGGACAAAGCACCAAAGCCGAAACAGATCTGCTGCTGAACCACGTCTTCAGAAATGTCATGCAGACCCTAATACTCAAGCCCCGACAGCGTCAATTCAACTTGCACTCCTGAGCACGAGAGCCCAGAACCCCCGGGCTCAAGCCGCAACGATCTGAGCCCGAAGCCACAAAAACGACCGACATTCGAGCCTTGAAACCCTGAGCTGAACTCTGACTGGACTTCGAAGCCGGGACTCTTAACCGCAAACCGTTCAGACCCCCTAGCTATAGCCTCACCGAAAAACGCCTCCCTAAAACGAAATCCCTCGACCCCAAGACCATCCTGTAGCCCTTGAGGCGGCGTTGTCCCAGGCAGCCTCCTTGGGCCTAGCGCCTCGGCTTCGTGAAGCACTGCTTCGAATCCATCCAGACCTGAAGCCCGAAGCCGCCCCAGAAGCTCCGCCAGGAGTCGGAACACCCGGCTGTCGAGCACTTCCAAGGGAAGCTCCATGGTCTCCGAGCCAAAGAGCAGGATCCTAGTGTTTCTTGGGGGGTTTAAGTGTTTGTTTCTTTTCGGTCTAGGTTCGTTTAGGTTTTTGACAGGTTTGGCGGGGTTCTTGCAGGGCTATACCGGCTTCTTGTTTTACGGTCGTTATAGATGTATTGGGTTGGGAAAGGTGATGTATGCGTTCATTCGGCATCTCTGTGTTTCTTTGGAGTTGGGCTTCAGGCTTTCAGGTTTTAGGGTTGAGACGGCCTATGCCTTTTTAGGATGACGGTTTGGGCAGGGCCAAGGTCCGGCAATGAAGATAGATGAACAATATGCTGCAAGATTGCAGAACGGTTGGTGAAGGCAGATTCCACTTGTGGGATGTATGCCGCTACTAGTTGACTGGCATACTTACTGTATGTTTTCTATTCAGCTCCAAGTCTTTGTCTTAACTGAAGTCTGTGATTGTGGCGAGTCTTGCTTGGCGTGTTCGCTTCTTTCATGTCTTCTTTCGGTCGTTGCCTGTCTGGTGTCATGTCGTGTCTTTTGCGGTTCTTCTTTCGCTCTCCCAAAACGCCGCAAGCCTTGAAAGCTTCAAGCATCAGAGCCTCAACAGATGCAGGAGACCCAGGAGAAGCTCAGCGCCATCAAGCTGCAGACGATTTCTTTCGATGCCCTGAAGTGCCAGAAGGACTCCAGAAGTCTTTTAAAACCCAGACCTCTAAGACTTAGCTCACAAAGCTTTGGCCCGACATCCTACACCCCTACATGCGAATCCCTTAAACTCGCAACCATAGCATCAACACACAGCACCTGAGCACAGCTTGGAGTGTCCTTGAAGGGCTGACTTTGGGAGTTCGTGACTGCTAGGCTGTAAGGAAGTGTTGGCAGATTTGCGGCAGAAGTCACAAAGTCCCTGCACATATCATCCTCTGCCCAAGCACGAACTTGTTCGCAAGTTGGTCCCCTTTGCAGAAAGTTGCAGAACCCTGATTTAGACCTTTCTGGATTTCTTCGAAACTTTGGCTGCGAATTACCAACAGAGTCGAGTTTCAGGGTGTCACGCGGTTCAGGATTTCAAGAGCTGTAGGGTTTAGGCTTTGGGGCTTCAGAGCTTAGGGCTTGGGCTATTTTCAGGGCTTTCGTGAGGATTGATTTCTGGAACACACTCAGCTATTTCCTTGAATATGCTTCATGCCCAACGCGCACAAGCTCCGTAACCCAAATCCTCAATCTCCAAATCCTGCTCCTAAGTCCTAAGCCAAATGAGGTTCCCGGCGCTTAAACGTCCCGCCCGGAACCAAATGTGGGCCATGTACAGCTCGTACAGAGGTAGTAGACCCCCTGAAATTCCACGCCTGGGGCCTAAACCCTAAACACCGAAACTGTAGACCCCAAATCCTAAGCCGCACGCCCGGCAGGACGGGAAGTGGGCCACCATGACCGGCTGCACGCAGATCTCCCGGGAAGGACGCCAGGCCAGCAGCTCTTAGGATAGGGTTCCTAGAATCAGGGGAACTTTGTTGAAGGTTTTGATGTTTAGGATAGCTTGGAGTTTGGGGCATCGAACCAAGAGGGTTTTACAGGGACTTCACCCATGGCCGCAAACTTGAGCGCTTTCTCTGTGGCTCGGGTTGAGGCTGTAGGCTTTGGGTTTCAGGGTTTAAGGTTTCGGCAGCCGCACTGATTGAACCGAAGACCACACTGCGGTAGCTTTGGGTGTCTTTCTTGGGTTGGAGACAACCTCAAACTGACCACCACAGCCGTAAAACTTTGGCCGACAAGTTTGGCCTTTCGGGCGGTTTGTCGTATTGAGGACTGCCGCAGATTTCCTTCGCCCGAATTTCGGTTTCGAGCTTAGGTGGAAAGCCCGAGGCTTCACAATCTACATCCCCAAACCCAATAAATAAATAAACCAACAAGCTTTCATCAATCCTTGTCAATCCCCTATACAAGCCTATCGGCGCGGCATCCCTGAAGTCCACGGTGCCGATATGCAGGTGATCCGTGAGGTCGCCCGGTGTCTCAAGGAGTACCCAGGCGCTTCAACATTTGTTGAGTATGCAGCCTTGCGGTTCGGATCCTACAGGAAATACAGAAAAGTGGCACACTGCAAGTTTAGTAAACACCTCAAGCCTTTGTCCCCAAATCCGAAGTGGGCAGGTTTGGCCATTCGCGTTGAAGGCCACAGCAACGATCGGAATCCGCAGAGGGCCAAAGTCGTGTCGCAGGTGCCTGTGGGCGTGCTTTGTGCTTTCCGTCGCTTCTTGTCGCTGTCTAGTGCACTAGGCCCTCTAGGCTTTCTGAATGGGACTCGCGATGCGCGGGTGTCGGCTTCGGGGTTAGAGGTTTGAGGGTTAAGTGTATTGGCTTGTTTTTTGTCTGGGTTGGTCTGGGTGCAGTGATACATTCCCGAAGCACACCTTATCTTGAATGCATAATTTCCGCAAAGCAGGACCCCTGGAAAGAGGCCGTACGTAATTAGCAGGACCGTCATTGCAATCCAGATGTTAAGTTTCCGGGTCCTGCATTACCTAGAGAACATGATATCTTGTAAGCATCTTGATCAAGAATTGGCCAGAGCTACTTTGGTCCTAAACCCTAAACACCACACATGACACGTGCTCTAACAAGTGCTTCGCAACTCGGCGAGGCACGTGCAGATGCCGTGAAGGCGGCGCTGCAGGAGCTCTCTTTCGACAAGCTTCAGGTAGGTGCTACGTATCCCGGTGTCTTACTCTTCCTCCCCATTGTGACAGAAATTGGAATCATGGTTGGGGTTGCGGCTTCAGCCCCCAACTCAAGCATTGCACGGGATCCAAAGCATCCATGTGACAAGAAGCTGTCGCAGAGGAGGCTGGCTGCACAAACTGGATGGTGTCGCATGGCTGGGGTCTGGCCCATTCCCTCCGGAAGAAGATGGCACCTGGGACCTGTTGAGTGGATTTGTTCACCTAGGTTTCAACAAGTTTAGTTTGCTCACCGATGTTTTTACTGGCTGTCACTGCTAGAAGTAGTTCCGGTGCATTCGTACTGTTACCAAGTAAGAAAGCTGATGTTGATCCATGCGTACGGCCTTCAGTACAGCTTCATTCATCGAAGCCAAGAAAGAAGAATCCCAGGCCCAAGTCTCTGAAAAATTGGCTTCCTGAACTCGAGGTTCGCATCCTCCCGTCCGTTGACATGGAGCGGCTCCCCACTGAGTCGGCCTTGACAAACAGTTAAGGTTGCACGATTCCGATTTGGGATTCGAGGGTTGAGTTTGTTTTTAATGGGGCTTTCGGAGATGAGGTCTTTAATTGGGATTAAAGGTGGTCGTGGTGAAGATGTAGAGCTATGGAGATCGACGGCAATTAAGTTCTAAAGTACCTCAAGGCTTGGTCCTCCATAAATTGGTCTAGACTGCAACCTGCCTTTCACCGACCTGAGCCCTCAATGCTCCACCTTCTGTCCCCTAAGCCCTCGACCGAATCCCCAAAGTCACACCACCAAGCTTGGCATTGCGGGTTTAAGGAGGATGCCGAGCTAGAGTTGCTTCTTCGTGTTCTGATGTTCGAGGTCACTTTGATCAACAGTCACGTTGTGGGGGTCTGGCTGTTCAGGGCTTCTGGGCTAGGACTCTTGCTTGGTCCATGCACGTCGGTGCTAGAATAGGAGACCCTAATTCAGAGCAGGTCTCGAAATCGTTGTTCGCAGAATAGTGTAAGTGATTGTCAGGTATGATCTTCTTATAGCCAAGGTTTGCCCAGTGGGTCTTCCCTTTAAGTGACCTAAGAGCAGCACGCTACATGAGCTGTGAAACCTAACACCCGAGAAGACCTATCCGCTAAGCAGCTCAAGACCCAAAGTGTGGGGTGTAAGGTTGTGTTTATGCCTTTCGGGCTCATGGTGTAGGGCTTCCTGGCTGTAGGATTCTGCTGTTTAGTGTCTTTGGTTGTGGGCCTAATATATAAATATAATAATAGTAATAGTAATAATAATATTAAATAATAATAATAATAATAATAATAATATATATATATATATATATATATATATATATTTATATGTAAGAAGGTTGTTTATGTATAATGTGAACGCCTCGGTTGCTCTCCGTTCCTAAGTAAAGTTTATAAAGTTTTTAAACCTCCGGGTATCGCCAAAACTTTATAAACTTTATGGAGAGCCTGGCTTTCCAGCGGAGCGGGGAGGCGGAAACTTTATAAACTTTACAAACTTTAAAAAGCTTATAAACTTTACAAACTGTATAAAGTGTTTAAAGTTTCGGCCATGCCGGCGCTCCCCCAAAACTTTATAAACTTTACAAACTTTATAAAGTTTACAAACTTGACAAACTTTGTAAAGTTTATAAACTTCCGCGTATCGCCAAAACTTTACAAACTTTAGAAAGCTGTTACAGTTTGTAAAGTTTATAAAGTTTGTAAAGTTTTGGGGTTCCCGGAAGATAGCATCATTCCGCCTGAGACTTTGATGGAAGTGGTCGGCGACGACGACGAAGCTTTGCCTGATGGAATCTCAGAAGCCTTGGAAGCAGAACTCGAAATTGCTGAGTCATCTGTCCTAGACAAAGCTAGGAAAAGACGAAATCTTGACGGTGCAGCGACAACCCTCGCCAGGTTTGATGCGGAGTTCGAGTCTTTGCATAAGGCCTGTGACAGGTCGTTTGAGAAGGCGCAACGTTTCTCTGCTTCTGCCGAAAGAGGAATCGTTGAAACTGTTCGAATGCTGAGACATTGCGTGGTACAGAGGCTACCTGATGTCACGGAAGAAGTGATAAGACTTGCTGTCGGTGCGCTTGCAGTTTATAGACTCCGCCTTTCTGACATACATGTACGGGAGCATGTGCTTATTCTCTGGATTGTCGAAGGCGACATTCACATGAGATGCCACGGAGGCAACATCTACTTCTATTCCTACGGCGCCTTCGCGCTTCATCGTGGCATTCCTCCACAGGATACTTTGCTGCGTTGCAAGAAGTACATCATTCACCTTGAGGGCTTGTTCCGCTTGATGATTGGGACAAAGCTACAAACAGACGCAGATGTCCTGGATGCCTTCATGCAGCTGTTCGAAGAGCACAATAGCAGCAGCACAGAGATTTTATTCGAGTGTGAGCAGGCAGCTCAACAGGTTATTTGTACTGCCAACAAGAGAAGAAGAGTTGGTCAGCGACAGGAGGAGGGTGTTGAGGGAGAGAGTTTCGGAAGTGACAGAAATGAAGTTCTTGCAGGCAACCTGTCGAAAGTTGGGAAGTCCATGCAAAGTTTGCTGTTGGAAGACAAGATCTTCAACTTGGTCGTGGAATGGTGTGACACGCCCCAGACAAGATCAGCCGGGTGCAGTTACAAAGACTGTGCTGTGCTCTATGACGTCGAACCGGACGAGCATGTCAGTTTTGTCGGTGACAAACCGTCGAACAATATCTTCTTGCATGTTGCTCATTTTCTTCTGTGCGACAGAGGGGATCCCTGCATCAAGAGTGCTTCAGAAAGATTGGAGCGGTTCTACAAAGAGACGTTCTGGCTCAACAATGAGGAGCCTTGATAGCAAATCATTCTTCGGTTTGCCATCAGGCAACGCGCTGTGTAGAGACGTCTAACCTTCCGCTTAAACCCAGTGTCTACAAAACATATCTGGCTGAGGTGTTTGCTTGCAATCAAGCAGCGATTGCTCTGGCAAAGAGGGGTCTGAATATTACTCGTTGCTTCATTGGCGAGAGTCCAGGAGGCCGGAGGGACTTGCGGTATGAACGGCTAGCCCTGTGTACTTGTGCACAATGCATCGTTTGATTGGGGGCTGTATCTTCTTTAACGATCGACCTGCCAGGAGTCGGGCAGTCTTTGTTCAGTGCGCACTTGGACGCCGTGTATTCGCCTAATCACCGATTTATCGATCCAAATACATGGTTCGATGAAACAGAGATGCGGAAACAGGTTGAGCAAAGCGCTGGCTGCATCATTCTGACGGCGCAGGAAGCCCCCGAAACTTCACGGAAGATGCGGGAGGACTTATACAAAAAGACCATGAGCGCCGACGGAATTGCGGGACGTCGTCCGTATGGGATGGTAACAAGGATGATCGAGCTCGTGGGATGGAAGCGGCTCGAAGTCAACAACATGATGAAGTTTGTCGGGGTATCGGAAATAAACTTTCAGTTCGTCTTGCGACGCTCCTTCGTCTGGATGCCTCGGGCCCGCTTCATCGATTCCAAGATCATTGACACGTGCTTTCCCGACGCAAAAGAATCTGGCTATTTCGCCAAAGACGATGCTTTGAAATCTTTCCTTCGGAGTGGCCCATGCATTGCGGCAGCATTGCGTATCCAGCATGCTTTCGAAAGCCGCCACGGCAGGGAGGCATGTCATAACATGATTGAAGAACAGGCCACACGCCCTCTCACTGAAGATAAAATGAGGCAAGCATGTGGGCTACAACCGAAAGTTCGATCGGGTCAGGCTTGTGTGCTGGCAGTGCCAGTGGATCCGACAAGCCAAGACGACAATGAGGACCTCAAGGATCAGTGGAATGGTATCAGACATGCCGTCATCAACCATTGCCTGAAAGAGGGCAAGTGTGTTCTCACGAAGGGCATGTTCAAGTACGTCAAACTTCCAGCAGACCATCCTGTCAGCATGGATGCTGATGCCATGTGGAAGAAACTGCTTTCGGACGGCTTGCTGATCCAGGGACAGGCGGACGGCAAGTGGAAAGATGGCGCCTTGCCTTGCGTCGGCAAGTATGAGCAGTTGAAAAAGGTCTGCGATCTGACACCGGTTACTGATGAAACACGCCACATCGAGGAGCACAAGAAACAAGCTCTCAGCAAGTACGCTACCGATCACCCGGCGAGAGAGTCCAATGTTCTGTTGCTGATTGCTTATATGGACGCTGAGATGAAGACCTCGAAGAAGAAAGGCAACAATGCATCCAGAAAAGCGACGCCAAGCAGCCTAGATGGCGTCGGCAAACTCGTCCGCCACCGTGCCAAACTCTCAGACGCCGAAGAGCATCTCAGCTTGCTACTTGCTTCTGAAGAACCAGCCGTGCAGATGTCCCCCAATCGGCCGAAGAGAAGACGAATGGGGAAGGGTCCTTTGGAAGAAATGGAGTTCATGTATGACAGGGACTTTCAGAACATCATCTGCACGCGAGCCTATGTCCGTGGCAACGGAGCGCAACGCTTTAGCAGACGACTACTGCAAGTTCTCTGCCCGAGTTCCATCGACCTGGACATACAGAATTGCGTCTTTGTGATATTGGAGCAGTTGGTATGCAAACTGGAGCTGGATGTCCCTTGAAAAACCGTGTTGCGCGAAACGCTCTTCGGTGCAAGTTTGCCTGCTTGGCTGACGGACAATGCTTTCATGAAGACGTTCCAGAGATTATCTTTGTGGCTTCGATGGATGGCTTGCTCGTTATTACCGGAAACCTATGAAGCTGTAAAGGGTATGGCAGACAAGAAGCATCCAGAAGCACCAACACTATTTTACCTGTACGCAGGTGTCGAGGATCTCATTCTGCAGGTGTGGGAGAGGAAAGCTCTGTCCATGAAGCCGAAGCATCTATCCCTCCACTTCGATGGCATGAGACTGCATGGCCACAAATGGGACAAGACAACAGAAGACCTTTGCAAGTTCTTCTCGGAAGAGATCAAGGCAGAGACAGGGTTCCAGGTGAACATCGTGGAGAAAAAGCATTACTGGTTTGCCTCTGCGTGTTTCACGAAGCATCCTGTGGAAGAGGTCCCGACAGACACTCCCGTCCTCATGGAAGATGGTAATTGCATTTTATTGGCAGTCTCTCACCTTCGACCAGATCTGATGGAAAGCCTACTTACCTACCTGAGCACAGATGCGGAAGAGAATGCGGCTGCCAAGCAGAATGGCACCAGATCGTACAGCCAAGTGTTTACGGCTGTCGGAATCTATGCTGTGCCGACCATTGGTCTTGCAATCGAAACTCCTGGAAACTACATCATACACTCGGAGAATGAAGGGCGCCCTCATTGCCTAGCATGCAGTGTTGTCAGTGCAGATGAGGTTTATGTGAGTGATCTCAGAGGAAAAGTGCACGTGTGTGAGGAAAACCTGCGAGATTATGCTGAGTCATGTGTTGACCGCTGGTCTATTGTGACCATCAGGATCTTTAGCAGCCAGGAAGAGCAGAAGTGACCGGCACATATCTGCAAGGAAAATCTGGGTGAACTTCTGAAGCTGCATGCTGGTGCGAGCAGAGACAGTGACGGCAGTTGGATACAAGGCTTGACGAAAGAGGCTGCCTGTCAGGACCAAATGTCGGGTTCTGAGGATGAGTGCCCCGTTCCGGGTGAGTCGGCAACTCATTCAGATGAGAATGTCGTGCAGGTCAGCGCTGACCTGCTGTTGCCGTTCCAAAAATTAAAAAGAAGTCCAGGAGGCAGTCGCGAAAGAAGCCAAGGGCAAGAAGTGCATCCTGTGTCCCTTCCCGACGTTCAATCGTGCCTGTCGTGTCAGAAAGCATATAGCCACGCATCACACCGAGAGGAAGCAGTACATCTGTTCTGGAACCAAGCAGTTGAAAGTCGCGTGTGCCTTGTTTGACAACGACCAGATAGCCTTGCGCGAAGGTAGCAATTACCTTCAGAGAAGTGCCGATCTCAAGTGGGTGGTTCCTGCTCTGTCAGCCTCCTCCAATGAGGTTGACAGGCATGTTCGGTTGGTTCTGACTGAGCGAGGCCCAGTTTACTGGAGCCTGCAACAGGTCACTGCAACGAATGAGGTGCGACGAGCGCGGAACCTCTTCTACACGCAGGGATTCGCAGATCTCGTGTATCGGGAAGTCATCTTATGTCACGGAAAGTGCAAAGCAGCGTCGTGGTCTTGAAATCAGCCTGTGTTTGTAATCTATGTGATGTGTGTGGTGTAGGCGTCTGCGTAGAATAGATTTGGCAATGAGGCAATGTCCAGAATCGCATCTCACCTGGTGTACGAGGGAAGCAACATGGTGTCACTGCTGCCGACTCATACCAGCTACTGGTGGCCGATCATTGAAGACATTTTCAATGGGCCTCCCCTCAAGTTGCAAGTGCGTGCAATGCAAGACTTCTTCGTTGACTCCAGGGAGTTCGAGTATGTCTCTATTGATGCAACAATCAAGTGTTGCATGTCGGTAATGGGTCAGGCTTCCTACAAAGCCAGCGCAGCTCAGAGAATTGCGGCGGTTTTCAACGATGACAACTCGTACAGACGCGTGTTGACGGCACGTGGAAGAACGGGGGCTGTTCTGGCCATGATCGCAATGTCCAGCGAGAAAGCAGAAGAGATTTCCTGTGCTTTGGCGCAAAACTGGTCAGCCGATGCTTTACGTCGGGTTAGATGTTTGTTTGGCGTCCGACAATGCAACCATGCGCCTGTACGGCGAGTTGAAAACGATTATGCCGAATCTTCGGTGCATCTGTTTGGATGTGATCCATCTCTCCATAGTGTATGAGTGCCTTTGTCTTCAAACATTATGCTCGCACGTGATATTTATGTTATGTTGGCTTGTAGATGTTGCAAGTAGCTACCCAGCATCCAGTTGAATGATCACAGGTATGCCACCTGGAGAAAGAAGACGGCCGGTGCGCTGTTGCTCCGAAAGATTCTACGGAAGTTTCTTGCGGTGGATCCAACCAAGACGGAGGCCGCGTTTGGGTCCTTCTACCATGGCTACGAGAACCGGGAGCTCTCCTCCAAAGAAAGCTGTGCGAGAACCTGGATCGAAAAAAGGATGCATGCTCAAAGCCAAAGCCTTAAAAATCATCAACTCACTGGACAGCCTGAAGCCGTTCTACACCCGGTACGAGTACATAGAGGCAGTGGCCGCACTGGCTGCCCTACATCCAGAGGACATGTCCCGGAAGGTCACTGGGGCGAACCAGCCCATTTCCCACATACTTTGGTGTTCTTGCGCTCCACAGCGGCTGGAATGGATGTGGAACAACATCCGATGGCGGCATTCCATTCGTTCAGACCTTAGCCAAAAAACGGCTTGCTTGCCGCATGCCAAGCTATGTCCTGTTTTCAACTTTCCAAACTAGATTGAGGTTCATCGGATTTGACGTTGCTGCCGTCCGGGACCAGTTCGAATGATAATGAGGCGCTCCATGCCGAAATCAAGAACTGGTTCTTGCAGACCCAGCAGATCCACAAGAGCACAATGCAGCTCAAGCTCGACATCCTCACCTACGGGAAGCAACTGCCTCACTACGCTGCACGTATGTTTCCAACGCTGAGCCAAATGTCCGGTCAAATGCTGCTCAGCAGATTGCTTGGGAATAGTCTTTGGACATCGGAGTCCTGGCGTACTTGGTGCAAAGATAAGTTGCAAGGGAAACTTGTTTCAAAGGCAGACTTGCCACTACATGAGTCAAGACAACATGAACAGCAGCAGGTTCGTGCTTGGGCTGCGAAGAAGCCAGCAGCCAATCAAGCTAGCAAGTGCTTAAAGCGCAAGCGCACAGTATTTACGTTGGAACGCAAGCATAAGATTCGCAGGCAAGGCACGGTCGACACTGACCTAATGCTTTGAGTGTACAGATGTACAGATTCCATGTGTGTACGATGCGATGATGCAGACCACGCTTGTGACTGGTACTTAACTACTCAAGAAGCGACAAGAGGGGCCATAGTTAGTTCTGGCTTGAAATTGCTGTTATCAGACATCATCGAAGTGGAGCGGACGGTTCACTGGAAGACAAAAGTGCCAGAGGGGCAGGAAGAGAAAGCGGATTCCGTACATCCTCAGATGCACCTTGCCAGCCAAGGACAACAGAACACCGCCTACGCAGCTGAGGCCCTACTGTGTGCTTACGGGCTCGCCTCGGAGGACACGGTGAAGCCCATTCTCTTTGTCTGGCTGTTCGCAATGCAGTTTGTTCGAGCGATTGTAGCACGGTTGTGTTTCCGGCCGTGAACACATGAAGATTCCAAAACCTGTGCGGTGTGCCAAACCCGCTTCATGGACGACGTTGAAGGCTACAGCCCTCTCACGGAGTACCAGGAGTGCTGTCTGTGTCATTCTTGCCAGTTGTGCCAGCAGTAGAGTCCGTGTGATGCGATATGATCAACGCTTCCCGAGTCTTATAATCAGAGATGTGTGTGTGTGTGCTCTCGCGAGTTGCAATGACATTCGACACATGAGCCAAAAAATGTATTGTGTTTGGATCCAGATTAGGCCCACAGATGCTGTGTCATACCGTGCTGGACCGTGCTGGGAACCGAGGGAAACGGTACCGTTCACACAGCTGCATACGTTCAGAGGGCAGCATGGCACCAGGAGTTCGAATTTCTGTGTTTCGTTTTGGCGTAGAGCTCCTGATCATCTTCAATACACGGAAGAGAGCTTACGATCAAGAAGGAAAGATGGAACTCTTCCAAACTTAACCTTGGCAAGAGAAGTCTAGTCCTCCCTGCGGCGTCAAAGGGAAATGAGAAGCCCTTTACTTCACCGCTGAAGCAAAAAGAGAATTCAAACCAAGTTACTCTTGGCAAGAGAAGACAGCTTCTTTCGAGAAGAGAGCTCCTTTCCCTCTCGGTAGAAGAATAAGAAGAGATCCTCTGGCAAGAGAGGACAGAGCTCCCCCAGCTTCCAAACAGAAAAGCCCTTTACCTCGTGGGGACAAGAAGAGACTTGGAGCTTCCCCGAATTTCAGAAAAGACAGACAGGCTCCTCCAAGATATCGAGAAAGAAGAGAACTCTGTTTACCCTTCAGTCGGCAGGAGAGACCCCCTGCAAGAGATGAAGAGAGCATACGCTCAAAACGATTGTGTGGAGCCCTCCAAAGAAAAAAGCCTGGCCTTCCCTTAAACCTTGAAAAAGAAACAGAACTCCTCAACTACGTGCTGCAAGACAAGAAGAGAGCTCCCCCAAGTTATTCGTGGTAAGAGTAGAGAGCTTCTTTCTAGTAGAGAGCTCCGCTACCTTGGTAAGGTCTTGAGAACAGTGAAGAGACCGTGTATGAGTTCTCCACCGAATCACGGAAAACAGAAAGAAAGTTCCTTCCAAATTCACAACAAAAAGAGGGCTGCTCCTTTACCTCTTGGTGGAGGAAAAGATCCCCTGGCAGGTCCTCTACTCCAACAACTCAGAAGAGTAAGAGAGGCCTCTCCAACCAGTCGAACAAGAACAGCTCTGTTTACCTTTCTGTCGAAAAGAAGAAGACTCCTCTCTCTTTTAATCAGGGGCGAGAGCTCCTGACCATCTCCTCCTGCTCTTTAACACATGGAAGAGAGCTTACGACCAACAAAGAGGCTGAAGCTTTTGCAAACTTCAAGCTTTGACAAGAGAAGTCTGATCCTCCAAGGGTGCAGCCCTCTACTTCATCCTCTTTCAAACAAGAAGCGAACTCAATCTCGAGCAGAGAGCTCCTATACCTCTTGGCAAGTCTTCATCCTAATCTTAAGAGGACTGGAGAGAGCATCTAAACAGTTGTTTCGTGTGTTATGAATGCTCCTGCCATGCTTATATGCAACAGCAAGCTGGTTCACATTATACATAAAAGACCCTGCCACATATATATATATATATATATATATATATGGTTCAGGGTTTGCAGTGCCTGAGGAGGCTTTCAGTCATTCAGTCCCGAAAAAAAGATTAGTGGTGCGCCAAAGACCTCGCGCTGCTTGTGGCAGTGTGAGAAGCGCAAGAAGTACGCGGTGCAGGGACGGAAAAAGAGTACTTCGACTGCTTTGGGATAGGTTGCCATGAATTGAGCGGAGTCTACAACTATTAGAACCCATGGCCCGGCAAGATCCGTAAATTGAAAGTCTTCGAACCCTGGACTCTGCCTTGCCCTTGTTTGAAGGCACCCTGTGCCTAGCCCCTTCAATGCATCACAACAAGTTTCGAAGATGCGGTGCTGGGACAGGTAGACCCGGCAGAGACGTTGCAGGCCGACGTGGGCGATGCTTCAAACCCAGTATAGGTTAGGCTTTGCGCTTAGCCCTGAAAGCCCAGACCAAGCCACGATTAAGCCCGAAAGTGCTTCAGTCTTCGGGAAATCGGGGATTGGGGCTCAGAGCTGAGGGCACAGCTTTAGCGTGGCAGAAGCCATGAGGCAACGCAGTGGAAGCATGATATCAGCTGCATCCTACACCTACTAAGTAGGGCTTCTTAACCAGGCATGTGAGATTTGGGGTGTAACCTTTGGAACTCCTCCGCCCCTACAAGCTCCATAGGGAGCCACGACATGCTACAGACCTCTTCGCCGGACTCTTCGCCTAGCGCCATGTCGCAGTGTCGTCTATGATATTCTCAGACTCCGAACTACCGCCCGAAAGCCCTGTATAAGCCGCCGACGAAGTTGGTCGGTTTATTGCCGGATGTAAACCTTGGGAAAGCGTTTTGGTTTAGAGCTTGTTTTATCATCCATGGCGGGTTTGTACCTTGAAGGGTTGGGCTTGTAGGGTTTCGTGTTTGGAGGAATCTCTCGCCTAGAGTTTCTTCAACGCGGTTAATGGTTCAAGTCGCGAAATACTCGAAATACGGTTTGAAGCTTTTACGATGTGTAGAGTGCAGAGGTTCCGTCTGACGTCTGGTGTCTTTCGCCACAGCATCCAGGGCCGCAGGCTTCTGAGGGTCGTTGGGTCCTGGCAGTGGCTGCATGGCATGGCAGTCGGCAGTTAGTTAGTCATCTTCTTCACCGCATTCTTCCTTTGCTTTGATTTACATACCGTTCTTCCGTGACCTAATGCAAAGATGCAACTGATTAAATGAACATCTGCCCGCTGAGTCCGAGTTGTCGTCGTCAGTATCAGTAGCACTAACAGAAGCAGCACGACAGACCCAAAGACTCCCTACGCGTCCCTTATAAGCACGAGAATCCCGTTCGACGCCTTAAACGCTAGCGCTCTACATCGAACCCAAAAGCCCGAAATTTCAATGGGTTTTCAGTAAAGTAGGGAACGCTGAGTAGTAGCATCTCCACTACAATTACAAAACCCCAAATGATTCCCTTGATGGAGGAAACCACTGATTGTTTGCAGGATCTGGGCCGCTCCATGGCACTGATCGTCGCGCCAGTTCTTGGCGTGGCGATGCTGGGGGACCCAAGTCAGAAGTGATCGGGGCTTCTCATTTGAGGTTTTTCTGAAAGGGTTTAAGGCTTTGGAGCGTTTACGCAGGCTTCGGATTAAGTGTAGCCCTTTCGTTCAGGCTTTAAAGCTAGGCTGCCTAGCCCTTCCCGGTGCCTGGAGCTTGGGCCCGAAGCCCGAACTTGCAGAATGGCTCGGATGCAGGTCGTGGGAGTTGTTTTGGTGGTTTGGTTTCAAAGCCCGCGCTACAAACCCCTATAGAGTCCCCGAGCCTGAAAAGCCTCATCCGTGGAGGCTTTGAAGGACCCTCTGAACCCGCAGCCATACTTCTTAAGCCCTAAGGGCACAGGATCCGAAACCGATGCACAAAGCCCAAATCTGATTGCTCAGGCTTCATCATCCAAACCCGAAACCAGACAGTCTACAACCCTAAGACCCTGCCCCAAAACCCGTCCCTGCCACCCTCAACCATTCTAAATCCCATAAAGCCATTGTAAAGCCCCGTTTAAAGCATTCTCAAGAAACTTCATAAAGACACGGAAGAAGAGGAAGAGCACTAGCACTGGGCAGGTGTCTTCTTGGCTGCTCAGTGACCCTTGGCCTGGCAGCTGCAGCAGCCACGGGGCCTGGGGCCTCAGCGATTTACTATTCAAGCGATCCTTAAAATTAGTGCATTCAGTATGAATGACGCTGCTGTTGCTTTTGTGGCTATATGTAGTCTTTGTGTATGTTATATTCTGATGCGGCTACTACTTTTACTAGTGTTGGCATCAGCTTTGTTTTTCGGTGTAGTTTCTTTCTGTGTACACGTCAATTCTGTGTGTATGTAGGCCTTCGGGGATTTGGGCGGGGCTAGGCTTCGGCTTTTAGAGTGTAAGGCCGTACAAATGTGGAGTTTGCTGTTGTTCTCTGCGGCGTTCATAGGGTCATCACGGCTTTGCGATCAAGATTCCGGAATCCGAAGCCTAAGACCTGAAGACCCCAACTTCAAGTCCTTCGCCAA